TTAGGCTACTTGGGTTCTTAAATAGGTCCCTAATTTGATACGGGCACTAGTGATCAGCACAGAAAACTACTACACGGCATGTGTGATATGGAATATATTGCTGTGTTGAAAAAGTATCTAGGGTACAGTTAAGATGATAACCATACAGTAAATTTGTCATCCCAAAGTACTAGTATGCATGTCTCTCATGCTACAGACTCCATAAAATGCTGTGTTACATTTTGAATCTGTCTGAATAAAACCTGGACTATTTTTTTTTTAATTTATGTATTTTCATCTGTGCCTTCATTTTTGTAATGGTCAACACACACACACACACACCGAATCGCGTCTTCGGCCTCATTCGATTTGTTTCCTCATTGGATCGTACCACCCTGCCAAGAAAAAAAACCTGGCTACAGGCACAAGCAAGCTCTCCATTTAGGGGACAATTGGGAAAAATGCACGTGCGAGTTGAATCGCTCGCTTAGTCCGCCCACATTAATTTTATTTTGCTTATCTTTGTCCGCGTTCCAAATCTGGAGGTGCTTGGTAGGTTTCCGCCATTCTTTCTGAACAACAAATCTTTGTTTTCCTTCCACTTTAAATACTATTTCCGCACAAGAAAAAGGAGTCGTTCGCGTTGCTTAGTTTTGATCCGCAATTGGTCGGTGAGACCCTCGATGACTGCGTCTGCCTTAAACTTACATTTATCATTTTCTTTTCTTCTCTGAAGTCGTTTCCTTTTTGTCCTTTGATTTCTCATGCGACGACGCTCGGTAGCGGTATTCTCTCTCCATTTAAACGGGGCTCGTTTCTTTTGTTCGTCTTCCATGACTGAAACACGACCACAAATTCCTGCCGAAATGTAACAAAACTACGCCAAAGTGAGATAGGTACGTAGTATATGGGACATAATGTGCCCACATCAAATGGGACCTTTGAACTGCCACATAGATAAAAAGCGAAACTTTTGCCTACTGAAGAGACTAGCAGTTACAAAAATTCAGCCACAACACAACAAGACCAAAGGAATACAGGATATTTAGACATCATTTTAATTTTAGTTCACCAAAATTTACATTAACGCAATTAATTAACCCTAGACTTTTTTTTTTTTTTTTTTTTTTTTTTTTTTTTTTTTNTTTTGGGCTTTCATTAGTTTTGTCGAAAAGCTTTCGTAACTATTACCTTCGTTTGTGTGGTCACCTTGGTTGAATGTGTTGCATAGCTTTTTAAGAGCAGAAATTATTCCACAGTATGCCAAGGGTTGGACCTTGATGTCGTATTTGTTTAAAAGTTCTGGTGGAGTGAGGAATTTTCCTTCTCTGTTCCTTAAGTGCTTAACTTTTGTGATGCCTTTACGATACCATTCTTTAAAGAAAATAGGGCTGTCGTTAATCCTTACAAGTGAGTTGTACCATATGCCTTGTTCTGAAAGCTGGCTCTCTGATGTTATCCTCTCTTCAAAATTGATTTCTGACCAGATTAGGAGAATTTCCTTTAAGAAACTGTCTTGCGTTTTGAAGATATTAGCTATGTCTATCTTATTAAGGTTGCTTGTGAACGGTAGGGTACACTCAAACTTTTTCAGTTCAAGATCTAGAAAAAGTTTCCATTTACCCTGATTATCTGTATCCAGGTACTTTTTTATCCAAGTGGTTTTTAGCGCTTTATTGAAAGATAGTATGTCAATCATTTTGAGGCCACCTGCTGGGTAATTGTTAATCATAATATCTCGCTTTATTTTATCGCCCTTTCCGTTCCAAAGGAACAAGTAAAAGAGCTTGTTAATCTCGCTAATTATTTTTTTGTTTGTGCACAAGGGTGCCAAGACGTACACAATTTGAGAAGCTACTAAGCTTTTCAGAACAGTGATCTTCCCACTTAAGGTTAATCTACGGTATTTCCAGTTGCTTAGAATATTGTTAATTTTTTCCAGTTTTTCCTTATAATTTAGAAGTACAGTGTTTTCAGGGTCTGTCGTAAACCAAACGCCTAAAGATTTTACTTTGTTTGTTTGCCATCTGAAATTTCTTTCTGGAAGAAGAATTTCTGTTTTTCCACTATATGTTCCGATCCAAATTGCTTCTGTTTTTTTACTGTTGAGTTTGAGACCCGAGGCTTCTCCAAAATCGTCAAGTGTGTTGAGAGCAGCTGAGAGCGACGTTTGTGAACCATTCAATATTAAGGTTGTATCGTCTGCGTATTGACTTATTTTAATTTCCTCTTGGTTAACGTGTATTCCTCTGATATTGCTGTTTCTTTTAAAAGCCTTGGCTAAGACTTCGACTGAAAGAACAAATAGATATGGAGACAACGGGCACCCCTGCCTGACCCCTCTTTCAATTTTAAAGAAATTGCTTGTCCAGCCGTTGTTTAAGAAGCAGCTCTCTATGTTGCTGTAAAGGCATTTGACCCAGTTTACAACACTTGGGCCGAAACCGAAGTATTGAAGAGAATTTATGATAAAAGGCCATTCAATCGTGTCAAACGCCTTTTCGAAATCAAGAAATAATAATAGCCCTGGGATATTTTTTTCTTTGGTAAAACGAATAACATAGTCTATTAATCGTATGTTCTCGCCAATAAACCTGCCTTTCATAAAGCCAGTTTGATCACAGCTGATGAGATCGGGAAGAACCTTTTTCAGCCTGTTAGCCACAGCCTTTGCTGCAATTTTGTAGTCGCAGTTGAGAAGAGTAAGCGGTCTCCAGTTTTTAATGAAATACGGCTCAGCGTCTTTCTTGGGAATGAGTTTGATTACTCCTCTTCTTTGTGTGATGGAAAGCTGACTCGTTTCGTGCGCATAATTAAGAGCATTAATCAATAAGTTTGATATGTTTGTCCAAAATACTCTATAAAATTCTGAAGGTAGCCCATCAGATCCAGGGGTTTTTCCCTGTTCCATGGTTTTCAGGGCTGCAAGGCATTCCCTTTCAGTTAGCAGGCCTTCACAGTTGTTCCGTTGTTCGTCATTCAGGACGGTGTCGTTTTCGTGTTTAAAAAAATCATATGTGTCAATTAAATTGTGTATATTTCTGTTGGATGTATATAGATTCATAAAAAAAGATTCCCCTTCTGCTAATATTTCCTGATCCGAAGTAATAAAGTTATTTTCGTCCACTTTAAGTTGGCTTATAATGCCTTGCTTATAGTGTCTCTTTTCTAGGTTGAGGAAATATTTCGTATTTTTTTCTCCTTCATTATGCCATTTAATTTTAGCTCTCAATATGGAACCTTTCGTACGAGTCTCAATAATTCTTTCTAACTCACTCTTTAGATCATTCAGTTGTTCTGCAAGTTCAGAATTTTCTGTTACGCTAGAGTCTCCGTTCTCCATTTTCGATTCTAGTTTGGAAATTGCATGCTCTAGTTCTGCCTCACGGCCCTTTGTTTTCTTAGTTTTATTCATTGCGTATTTGAGCGATTTTTCCCGTATTTTAAGCTTAATCATGTCCCACAATAGAGCAGAGTTTACCATGTCATCATTTTCATATTCGTCTTGAACTTCCTTAATCGTTGTCTTAATAAGATTAACATAAGCAGTTTCGGTTAAAAGAGAGGTATTTAATTTCCAAAGGCCGGGTCCTCTGCTATTTGCATGAAGAGACAGATCTAAAGTAATCATGGAATGGTCTGTTTTATATCCTGGCACTATATCGGTGTTAGTGACGTCCCCAATAACGCTTTGGCTTATTAAAAAGAAATCAAGTCTACAGTAAACCTTAGGTTGTCGTTGTCTCCAAGTGTACCTTTTGTCATCTGGATTGTGAATTCTCCAGACATCGAGAAGATCTAGGTTCTCTGAAATTTCTTGAACGGTCTTCAAGCTATTTTGGTGAGTTTTGGCAATGCCACCTTTTTTGTCATTTTCGATGTTAAGAACAAGGTTGAAGTCACCGCCAATTATTATGTCTTCACAATTAAAATTTAAAAGATGATCGTAAAAGTTTTGAAAGAATGAAGGTTTATCCTCGTTGGGAGCATAGATGTTAGCGAGGGTCAAAAGCTTTTCGTTAGCTTTTAAGTCACAGATAATAAATCTCCCTGCAGGGTCGGTGTAAAGTCTTTGGAGCTGAAGGTTAAAATTATTGTTAAAAAGAATACATACCCCTGCTTTGTTGCTTTCAAAAGAGGTGAAGTAAGCTTGATAGCCCCATTCTGCTTTCCACAAGTGATTTGTTTTTTCTATACAGTGTACTTCTTGGAGCATGCATATTGATGGCCTTTTGGCGCGAAGCCAATTAAATACTTCTCTTCTTTTAGCGTCATCCCTAAGTCCCCTGACATTCAATGAAGTTATTTTCAAAGTCACGATTTGTTCAAGTCTTTTGTAATAAACGTTGTCTCGACGGGAAAAAAACATGTGCGCCTCAATAAAGGATTTGCATTCTTTCTATTAGGTGTAAAATGATTGATGCAAAAGGTACTCGATATTTTAAACAAATAATGAAGACTAAAACGTGCATATAATATTAGACTGAAGCAAATGATCACAAAAGGTAAATTAAAACCCTAGACTTGCCATAAATGCTAGAAATAAATACCAGGGCAGTTCTTTGAGTTGACACAAAATGGGAGCTTGACCCTAACCCTAACCTAGAGCATTAAACATAAACCACATCATTAATGCTACATTTTCGCTGTGTGAGCTGGCATGCAAAAAGTAGCCTCTGCCAACAACTGTTTAATCCTCTATCATGCATGCGCGAAATTCATCACACGATTCGCAAGCAAAATTAACATCATGGTCTGTTGTCAAATGGCATTAGTTTGGCAGGAATAAAAAAGTTGCAACAACTCTGATTGGCTACGCAAGACTCATGCAGTGCTCTAATTAAACTGGTTAAGAACAGGAAAAAAACCATTTTTTAAATAATTTTGTTATTCGCCCAGATTTCTGGACGGATTTGAACAGTTGTCGGCAGAGGCTACTTTTCGGACGACAGCTCACACAATGAAAATGTAAACTCTGCCCGCATGGTACAATGGAGGAGGAAATTTGACGATCATCAAAGTCAACATTGCAGTTTGCAGGCAAGAGGGCACACTACAAGAACATGCTCACCATTGATAAGATCTATTGCTGGAATAAACTTTCCATGGATTCTCTGTACTGGTATAAAGGTGGCATCCCCTTCACGTTCAAAGAGGTCTTTACACCAGACCTCGACTGGAGCTCCCAGGGAGTGTCTTGAGGGATGTTCTTGAAACCAACGCACTGCAGCTAAAATACAGGTCTCATAGTGACCATTGACAGACACATTCTGTTTTATAAAGTAATCAATGACTCCTGGCCCCAAATCAGATCCAGAGGTGTCAATTGCTCCACCAAGTTTACACCACCTTGCCAAAACAAATGCTGACCGATCTCCTCTCGACAGTTTTTGAGCCAAAGAGATCCCAATTGAATTTGCAACAAGCATATCTTTGAAAGTGACACGTAACAGAAGTTTCATCTAGCTTATCAAAAATTGTTTTATAGCACTTCTTTACATATGGAAGAACATCTGGGTCAATGGTATCTCATGAGCAGGGCCCTCAGCATGTGTACATGAGGACACTGTTGGCAATCTCTCCACTTGTTCGTAAAGGACCTATAGACAGAAGACTACACTGGATAACGTCTCGAGACAAATGGTTGTGCTCTGATAATGACTGCTCATGAAGACTTCCAGATTGTTTTGAGACAAGTCTGGTAAGCAAAGGTTTGAATACACTTTGGAATGCAACTGGCCGTTGTAAATCATTCACATATTGACTTGAAGTGAACTTTCGCATTAACTGAATTTCAACCGCACGTTGATTTGTTCCAAACTCACTGAGAATACCATTATAGCGTTCAAAGCTGAACAGCCAAAATGAATAAACAGGTCCATAATCCAAGACACAATCTACAAGATGAGAATGCAGATGCATATTCGGTGTAACTCTGTGCTTCCCATAGAGCTGTTCAAAATTCTAAAAAACGTTAAAAGATACGAGTGAGCTAAAAGTGCCTTCATTTCTGTGATAACTGGACAACAAAGGTAAGAACAAGCCATCACAAAATCTCTCCAGAGTTCTAAGTCATTCCTTGGTAATATATCCCACAAGGCGTATATGGAGAATAGAACAGTAAACGACTTCCACTGGTCTGCTGTAAAGCCTCCATAACTGTTCTCAATTTTTTGGGCATCCTCCGCACACTGGCTGGAACTTTCAGCTTGTCCATCTTATCTTGGACTTTCTCTAAGTCCTTCTTGTCAAGAAATGGCTTTTCCACATCTAACCAAACATTCTTCATAACATGCTTTGCTGTCCCAGTAAATAGGTTTTGCATGGGATCAATAACATGGAAGCGAATACAGTCAAAATAAGGTAACAAGATCAATTCTGTATACCTTGTTCCATAATGCTGCTCCAGGTTTAAACAATCACCAGCAGATGTTTGGTTTAAAATCTCCTGTGCTTCCTGTCGATGTTCAATGTTGCTCCTTGGATGACATGGCTCAAATCCAGAAAAATCAAGTTTAGTACCAACTGACCCTGGGAAAAATTTTTTACACTTTGAACAGCCTTTATTGGAGCCATGGCCAGTAAATCCACAAACATTTCTTGCTGCTGGAACATCACAGCCAACACAAAGTAGAGAAGCATGAAATTTTTCATTTTCAATGCAACTGTGACTTTCAACACTAATGCCACCCTTCCACAGGACATTAAGTTTAGCAACTAGGGGTTGCAAGTATGAATTTATATTAAGCTTAGGTTCATGGGGTCCTGGGATAACACCAACAAGAAAAACATTCTCAGGTTTAAACCTTTCACTTCTGGGAAGGTTCATCAAGACCATATAAAGTGCTCCTACACTATACAGAGAATGTTTGAAGGGCTGAAACCAGTCCGCATTAAGCATAAAAGCATAGTTCCTGGGTGATGCTAAATATGGTTGTCCATCAACATACTGCCACTCCTTCCATATTCTTCCATCAAAAATGTCGGCAAGAAATCCATTAGGCATGTCCCTACTCCTCCATAATTCACATTTCTCGACAAAACCAGGCCTTTGCAGGAAATCGCGGAGATTGGCAATGATGCTGTTGTAACAGTACACTTTTTGTGGGTACAGCTTAGTTTCACCGGACTTAAATGAAACCTCTTTCAAAAGTGGCTCATCACACTGTATGGCGGAAGTGTTGGCGGTGGTTTGGACACTGGACAAAGCTGCATTTTTTTGTAATTCTCTTCCCACGAAGAACTTCATAGCAGTCTTCAAAAACATACAGACTATGGCATTTTGGGCACACAACATATTTTGTAAACCTGTCCTTGTCTAATCCAAGTTGCTTCCGCAGCAAATGCAACGACCTAGGGAACAGCATGGGTTTTGAAGGTTGTTGACCTTTATCTCACCATTCTCTTAGTTTATGACGGGAGTTTTTTCTTTCGTCCTAAAGGTCACGTAATAGTCTATTACACGTTTTACTGCTGGTTTGACATAGGAAAATCAGGAGCCAATGAACAATATCCTTCAAATTTCTACTTGCTATTGATCTTCTGTTAACATCCACTGAGGGAAGTTGACCTTGGTCTTGGGGGAAGTCTGTTTCAACATCCTCACCAACAACGTCCCATACTTCTCTAAGTATGTCTTGTGGCATCCTTTCATGATAAATAAAGTCATTCTCTGAGTCACTGTCATCCAGATCATGAATTAGATGATAATCTTCTTCCTCAACATTGTTGATCGAGACACCATCACAAGCTGTTCATTAATACAACATAATTGTGTGAGAAGGGGATACAGTGTGTACTTACAGCAAGTGATAGGTAATCAGAGATTACAAGTTGGCTAATTTTCAGAGTGGGCATGCCATCAAAGCAACTAAATTTAGGATCACAGTCTAACCCTAACTCTGACAACATACAGAGCAGGGGCAGTTAGAAGGGCCTGTTTACATGGAGGTGGGGGACCCCAGTTAGGGGAGGTAACCCACGCATCAATATAATCTCTCATTTTAAATTTGACCACATTTACAGTCATGATAGGTGGGGTGACCTTCCACAAGGGGGGGGGGGGTGTTACTCCCTTATATAAACCTTATAGGTATGTGCCGCCCCATCAGGTACAGGGTTTTTGCACTGTTTTAGTCTTAAAACGGGTATACACTTTGCCCATTTTGGTGTGGAATTGGGCATGGTTTTCGGGGAACTACAGAGTGTATGAACATACTTACCGTTTCAATTCCGAATGAGTAAGAAAGAAAGAGAAATATGCAAATTAGGAATGGGTTTAAACAATTTTTTTGTTTGTGCTCTAATGTAAGTGATGATAGCATTATTTCTGCCTAAAGCCCAGGTCTGAAAACGGGTTTTGATTTTAGAGGTCTAGTCTGATAACGGTTGTGAAAAATTGCATTTTTTGGTCTGAAATCGGGTCAGGTAAACAGTTACCAGGGCTGTCATTTAGAGGTGGAGGCCGGGGTTTCTCCACTGGCTAATATGAACGTGACCCCCACTACTTTCAAAGGAAAATAGAAGAAAAATAGAACCAAAAGAAACCCCTGGCTGTTTGATTCCCCGCCTACATTTTGCATTTACCCGGAAACTTGAAATCTTAGTGGCAAACCTGAGGCCCTAACTCTAACCGCAGGAAAAATGAAAAAAAAATTAAATACCTGGTTCGGGTACTCTGTTTTCATCAAAATTCTCCGTGTCAACCGGTGTTACAGAATTCGAAATCTGACTGCTTTCTTTGTTCAAGTAAAGATCCAAATGCTGCCTTTATGTCCTAGATGACACATAGTCTTGACAATGTTCACAGAATTTCCTTTTATTGGACGACATTTAAGACATTTAAGCTTGTAATAAACAACTGTTAAGAGCAGCACTCTCCGAACTGTAGCTGTGTAGATCTTGTGTTTACGTCAAACAGCTAGCTGATGACAAAGCTGCATAAACAAAAATGTTCGAAAACATGAAACGTTTGACCGGATTTACGTAGCTGCGAATATTCTGGCGCAACGCTAGGTGTGAGAAAGTTTAAAAGTAGCTTATTATGCATGCGGCAATTTCATACTTTTTTCCTTCAAATAGTTGAATTTGAATAGAGTAAAAACAAGTTTGCAGAATAAATGTATGGAGTTTAACGGAAAGCTTACCGATATGAGATATTTAAGCTTAAGCTCTGGTTTAAACTTATTTTGGCCCAAAAATCTTCTCACGCGTCATGAAACATTTCACACCTTCGCTAGTCACCAGCGAAGGCTTTATTAAAATTGCACACGTTTTGTGTTTGAATGGGAAATACCTGAAGAAGTCTAGGTAGACAACACACGTAGAAGTATTATCACGTCTTAAAGCTACAGTTCACTGACTGCTGTTAGTTAAAAAAGGAAACAGGCAAACATGGTAGTTTCTGGGACGGCTAACCTCGGCAAATGTGTAATTGGATCACATGGCGCGTTCGTCTCGGATACGTCACCGTTCATTGTCTGAAGATTTTGGTGGCCGACCTCGTGATTTTTGCCCTTTGGATCCATTTCCCGCCTATGCTGTGGAGGACCAATGGAACGTCGTATATGTTTCGTAGTGGTTAAAAATTTAGTAGATTCTTGAGCATGAAAGACGTTTGAATTTTAGGCGCGATTACTTTGAATGAAGGGTTTCATCAAGCTTGGTAGTACTCGCCATATTTCTTCCATATATTTTTTTTCTCATTGTAACCTTCTGATTTCTCCTTTGTGGCTGCTATGGCAAGGCAAAAGCCCTCCAATTCAAAGCATGTCCTTTACACTACCCAGTCTAGGCCGAAAAAAAGGCAAGGTCCTGCTTCGTCGCCTGTTGGAAATGGAAGCCTGGAGCAGTCCACCAGCAGTAGTTCAGTCAATGCTTCAAGACGCCCAGAAAACAACTCGCCTGTGGAGGGCGCTGGAACGGTCGAACAGTCTTGTACTCTGCAACTGGCCCGGCCAGTTGCCCGGCCATTGATACTGACCAGACTAGCCACGTCGACTCCGACAAGTCTGATCAGATCTTGATGCCATTGGATTTAACCCCAGTAAACCGTCAAGAAGCAACTGCTAGTGCCAGTAGTATAAACTCCCCAGCCGCTCTCACATGTATGGAGCAGATAAAACAGTTCTTCGCCACTTAAGGGGAGTTCAATAAACAACTGGAGCAACGACTGGAAGAGTTAAAACATCAAACCTCTGGGAAAAGATCTAAACAAGTTCAGCGCCCTACAAAGGAATTATCAGTAAGTGAACAATATTACCTATTCATGTAAAGCTTCCTGGGCTTAATGGCTGTCTGCCAACATGTTTGACCTAGCATATGGACTGTTCCATCGACCAAGCACAAAAATAAAAATAAAAATCGTGTTGGATTTAAGTCTGATCATCCATGGATTTATTGTCGCGCCACTGGTATCATTCATAGAAAATTTGACTCCCTCCCCTTGGGACGAAAATTTTTG